GGAGAACCAAGTCATGTACATAACGTAAAACGTTTTGCTAAGTGTGATTGACGCAAAATAATGTGGCTGTTTTTAAAATAGACTGGGTCACGTTGATCTGCACCAGGGCGTGTGAGCGTTAACCAGTCCGAGCAGCTACTGGCGTGTTGGGCTTTGCGGAGGCGGTCAGATTGCAGGAGGGTGGGCGTAGCATCATCACTGTTTGGGCGGGCGCGCTCGACTTGTTTACCGTTCGCGTCCCCAAAGCTTCGACGACCTGCGCCCGCAGCGCACCCACGTAGCTCGGTTCTTCGGGGACGATACTAGTCGCTGGTGATGTGGTGACACGTCTGGCACATGTCAAACGCGTACCAGGTATTAGAAAAAAAATTACGTTAGTTCGAATTACGTCGGGTCCCGTAGTTTGCTGGTAACGACAGCAGCCGTGAGCTGCAGGGTCTGCGGGTTCGAATCCGATCTTGGGCATGGGTGTTTGCTTTAGTATTGACATGGTATGCCTTATTCTAACCACCGTATAACACCTTTATAGTCCTATTCTTTCCCAATCCTCTCTCCCCGCAAAAAATATGGGTATTTGGAATAAGTATGAATGCCTGCGTGCCAAGAGTTTACGAGTCACAAGACCCACGAGACAGTCCTTCGCTAAGATGAGCTTTCGAGACACACGGAGTTATTGAAAGGAAACTAGGGTGATGATTGAGACTAGGGAGCTTCGGCTGATATTCTAAATGTTAACTTAACAAGGTGTTCGAATGATAAGTTTTGATACCCACCATCATTTGATACTTTCATTTTCTACCCAATTATGTAAGAAGCTGTCATGTGTGGCAAGTCAATAAGGAATTCTCCTAGGTTTATCTACCTGCCACCACTCCGTGGTTTACTCCCCTCCACACTTTATATTTTAGACTTTTCCTTCCCCGTCTGTGTGGTCCTTCCTCTTCCACTCCTCACACGTACATCACCAATATAACTAATTACAATCATTATTTCAATCACAAACATGGTATGACTCGGCGTAAGTCTCCACGAATTCTGTGATCTTATTTTCGTGAAGCTCTTTTTATGTTCAGAGAATTTTCATTTAGTAATAAACAATATTTCAAAATGAAACTTGTAAAATCAAAAATTAAACGATTTTAAATATACTTTAATAGCTAATAAATTTTAAGATGATAAATCAATACTTTTCCAGCTGGTGCAAACTCTCTGTACTCAGATTTAAATACGGTGTCCTTCAAGGTCACGAACTGGAAAGAGAGGGAAACACTATCATTCAATCATGGGCTTCGTTACATCTTAATTTTTTGGTATTGAAGCTCTCGATTGGATGGCAACGTTCCCTTCTCATTCCATCACGTGACCCTGAAGGAAAACTACATTTAAATCGTAGAATAGGGGAGAGCGACGATCTCCAGCATCTCCTCGACAATTCGCTGCCGGGAGTGAAGTTCACGAAGCGCGGGGCATCAACACCACTGTTTGGACGAGCGGCTCTCGGCTTGTTTGCCCTCCCCGTCTCCGAGGCCCCGATCTAATTCGCCCGCGACGCACCCACGCTGCCTCGGCTCTTGGGCGGCGGCGGCTGATCGCGAAGCCGCAAAAAATGTGCGCTCGGAAAGAGCGCGGAGGTCGTAAATTCAGTGGGCTCAGCTTTATAATAGAGGTGACGCAGTAGCTGAGCCTCTTACCATAGGCCGTAGGAGCGAAGGTTTACACACTGAAACACTCACACACACATTTCAAACAGACAAACGCACGTACAAATTTCATCCAGTTAAACGTCAGATCGCATATTAATACATACGTAGGTATTACTAATATTATTCTCAATACATAAAAAAGTGAACACGGAAACGGAATTTACCCCATAAAGAAAGGTCCCAAAACAAAACAAGAGAATGACCAAATCATTATCTAGAATCATGTTTCTACTTCTACTTCGAGCGACAACACACAAATATTTTAATTTTTTAAAATATAGTTTGTTAAAATTTTGGTAAAAGACCGAATAAAATAATTATTTCAGAAAAATGTTGAAAAATACAAAAACTATCAGCGTTACGTAACACTACACTAACGCCCCAACTCTGCGTAACGCAGGTAACCTTGTCTCAAACCCACTCTTTCGCATTACTGCGTAATTTATGGACGACCCCAAACAGAAACCAGATTGTAAATCATCATAAATTAGATTTAACAATGCCACCTAAATAATAGCACATATCTAATGCATGGTTTTGCAAATTTGAAGAAAAAGTACATCAAATGATGAAAATTTTATTGTTTTAATTATATTTCAAATGTCTCATAAGTTTGGCACTTTCGTTACAATAAGATCAGAATAAGTATTAATAAGAACTGTCGGTATTAAGGCTGCCGGCCGTACCGACACGTTTCCTTGTGTCTCTTTGGAATATTATAATTTAGTTTGTTGTTATTACATGAAAGTAAATGTCACAACGTGCAAGCAAGATTTATTTTTTTACGTTTCCTGACTGCCGATTCCACTGTCTCAGAACCGTAGGTTTCGCAAAATAACAATTTTGGTGTATTTGGAATTTTTTATTTAAAATGTACACTTATTTTCCCGCCCTTTGTCCCCGTGTAAGTCTTCTGGAACAAGAGACTTATGTAATGGGAGCAGAGAGCAATATAATTCCTTACCCCATTATCCTAACTCCTTTTGGCCAAAGTGGTAATTCTTTCGATTTTAGCTATTTTTGGTACGAAATGTCATGCATGCCCTCGGTTTGTGGACCAACCTTAATCTTCCTCGGAACACCACAGGCTATACTCCTGCAGTGTGCACTAAGTTCTTCGTATTTGTCCCATATATACGTGACGCACACACAAATCCATTCGCACATCCATTCACACGGACAATATGGTAAAAAACATTTAATTCAGGGACCCTCAAGACTGATTTTCCTCCAATATCTTAGTCTCTAGTCTATTTTTGCGATCCCAATACTTTCGTAGAACAACGCCAAAAACGACGATCTCAATAATAAACAAAACAAAACAAAACAAAAAAAAATCAACTCTATGTTAGCTTGCTTTGCAGAATCGTAATTCGTTTGTAACAGAATTGATTAAACAATCCTTTGGGAATTGCGGTGCATAAGTCTCGATGGAGGAAGACTTGAGTAGGGGTGTGCGCATGCGGGAGAGAGAAAGTGATGCGGGCAGGGAGAGGAGAGGAGTTACAAGAACAGCAGGGAGCGTGAGAGGTAGCTAGCTAACTGGCTCCGGCAAAGGGAGAAGTTGACGAAGTGCAGGAAGTACAAACGAGCCCAATTGGACCGGGTCAAGGGCTGATATGTTTAAGACACTGGCCGAGGGGGAAAAACGAGATGGTAAAGAGAGCAATGCATTTCAAGATCTATTTTTTTTACATCCTATACAATCAACACTAATATAGATGATTTTATAGAGTTTAGATTGACTTACTAGAAAATCCTGGTTATTTAACAAAATAGAAGACTATTTGAAATTACCAAAATGAACATTTATTATATATGTTTATTACCTAAATGAACAATTACCCAAATGAATCTTACTTTTAATATTATTGACTCCTTTCCGATTTGTTTCAGGAAAGCATTTTCACTTGAGTTAGTTTAATTATTAATATGTGGAATAAATGGCTCTTGTAGTACGAGAACTAGCACATTGGCATTATATCCCGGCTGCAGGTGGTGAATATTCGAAGAGCAGAAATTCTTGCATGGCATGAAAAAGAATACTGGCGTGTACATCCTTTGCGAAATTTAGTCCTCTCACAATATTCCCTCCCTAATAAGGTTCCCAATCCACTCACTCACAAAATGACATACGTAACATGTCTCTATTATATTGAAATATGGTTAATGTCAAGAATCGCCGGTTAAACCTAACTTTAGCCAGATAGAATAAAACTGTATTAATGACGGACAATCATTTTGGACTTGGTTCAGCTAATGCTAATATCAGGCCATAGGCTAAAGACAGGTGTTTGTCCACATGGGACGTGACATGTATTCGGAAGTAGTATGTTGGCATAAAAATGTGTTGGAAATTATGCCTCCCTTTTACGGAAGTCATGAAACCGATGGCCGGAGCTTAATCACCAACTCGCTAATGCATAGCGTTGCGTCAACTGAGGTGTATATGTGGTTAGGATAGATGGTATTGTGTAAATTCAAATTTACCAATAACATAGAGGAACTCGAAGTTACACACCATGTCTCTTATTAGCCTTCCCACCGGCAGACTGATCCGCACCAACAAATAGATGCCGGCGTCTTTGATATTCCAACCAGCAACTTGAGAAGCCCCGCAGAGCATTTAGTCGGCCAGGAGCTCACCAGAAAAGGTCTAGGACCATTTCCCCAAGCTGCTTGCGTCTGCAGAAGTTGAAGGCGAAACTTCTGGGAGAAGATTTGTGAATTCTACTGTACTACAGCGAATCATCCCGGAAAGAAATTTAAAAATTGACACCGACTCTGAAACCTTACATTGTTATATAATGTGAATTTGGGAATCAGCCATATTCGGACGTTAGCCATAACAGGCTACCATACTAGCCGTGACATCCAGAACAGTCGACTGATCTCACTATTGCATAGATCCCTTTCGAAATAAATACTTGAAATTTGTCTTGTTTGTAACAGTTGGGGATCCCACGGTAACAAGATAAATTCCCAGAATTTCAGTCCCTATCCGGGATCGACAATGTCGATCGATATGTTTCTGGAGTCCAAGTATTAGAAAAACCAGCAACTTGAACAGTACAGTATCAAAAACGTTTCAGGAGAAGAGAATGGCTCAAACACGAACACAGATCAAACGCAACCATCACTCATTGAGCAGCAGTGCAATAAATTTTCCAGAACTATCCATCAAACCTGTCACGGGGACTGCGTGCTTAAACTGACACTTAAGTTAAACAAAGTGCTCATCTCATAAGCTTGAAAGGCCGAACAAAAGTCGCGTTGTAGGGGACGTTGCATAATTACGACATCGGTTTCTTGGTCGCGTTGCCGAACATGAACACGCGCGCCATCTTTTTCCCCGGCGGGGGCAACATAGGGCAGCAGCGAGTCTGGGGACAGTGGAATCTCATCAGAAGCAAGTGGAACTGCATTGCAACCGGGTGAGACCAGTGGGACTAGCGTCGGATGCGAGTTTGAAGCGTGATGGAAGTGCACTGGAAACCCGTCGGAAGCGCAATAAAGCGTGTTGAACCGCGCAGAATGTTCTACACACGACCAAGTTCCTGCCTTCAAATGGGTATCAAGCCAAAGCTGGGCTATACCTGAAAAGGTAAGAATATCAGACATGAATGTAACGCTATAATTCCTTACCAATGTCGGATTTTGTGACGAATTCGAGGATGAGAGAAGGGGAGTAATACTCAACCCCAGACAATTGATGTTACTACTTGCTCAATTTTTCAACAATTTTACGACATATTGATCGAAGTACATCCAAACCAGTATTTCCTTGAAGAATAAAAATACGTTTTTTTATTACAGCTAAGAATTGAAACAAATAGTATGTTTTTTAAAAATTGTCCTGGATGCGCTTAGTCGGGCCCAGCGTCAAATTACCCTGCCCCGAAGCGGGACGCTCTTGGCCTGTCGCCGACCATGACCTTTGGTGACTTTCGCCCTTGAGCTATCCCTCACCGGAGCGTCCGCTGTCGCCAGAACGCGTCTGCCCGCGGGCGCAGTCTCCGCCCCGCCCTGCCCCGCACCGCCCGCGCCCGCCCGCGCCCGCCGCCCGCCCCGCCCGCGCGCCGCTCGGGGTCCAGACGGGTGCCGGCGGCGCCGGGCGAAGGATCGATGCGACAGCCTGTTGCGCAATCTCGTGCAACCTCCGCCCTCGGCCCCCGCCAGCCAGCGCTCCTGGACCAGAGGGCCAATCGCTGACGTGAGCTCCCCCATGCGATGGTGCAAGCGTTGGAAACATCCCGGGGATTATGTGTACCACCGTGTCATCCCACGGCTGCACAAGTTGTGTAATTTTCCATTCAGCCGTCCATGTCTCCCTGCTCTCACCACTACTATATAACATTTAAAAATAATTTTTTCCGGTCTTCAGTAAACAGTGAAACCACGTCTGAATGATTAGGGAACCGATCACTGATAGGACTATGTTAAAAATGCAACAAAACTTCATTAACAAATATCGGCTGAGCCGAGATACAGGGCCTCAGCAGCAACTTCAAATCCTGGCGAATTTTCTATAATAGCTAGAACGTAGAATTCTAGAGGTAGGCTGCTTTGATCAGTAGTTTTCCGCTATTTCTCCGATCAACGTCAGGCGAATAGTGCAGCGGTGCTCTTTAACACACGGACCGTGCGCGATCTTTTCTTCCTCGTCTTTTCCTCGAATATTACATAGCTGCTTCTGTTGATATTATATTATCCTTTGAAGATGTTAGTGGAATGAAAGCTAGTAAATTAATTTCTAAACCCATTCATGCGGCTGGTCATGAATTAGATATAATAGAAATTATTGTGCCTAGAATCAATATTATCTAAAATAATAATCATATCTCCTTATATATAATCTTACACTTGCACACGGTACTACCACACATGTCGGGAAATTAGTCTGTCCCGGCTGGGACGGTGCCTCGTAAGGGGGACATACCTGGAGGGGAATCCTCGTCGAAGCCGGGTCTCACCATCCAGAGGGACAGAACTCCGCCACCACTCGGAATAAAAGTCACTACTTGACGGGACTATGACGGTGGCCGTTGACATGGCCGGGATCAATCAACCAATTATCATTAGGAAATCGTGCATTATCTGGTTGTGAAACATTGCGCATTGTTCGTGTTCTATAATACCATAGGCGATCTCGATGGCGTAGTAAGACTCGATACAAATACGCAGATCTGATATATGCAGGTTCCAGGCCTGCATAAAGGGTAAGGTGTTTGGCTTGGTTGACTCTCGTACCTCGAGGTTCGTAAACCATCATTTCATTCATAATCACTTCTCATCATTCATCCCTCATGATCTACCTATTATCTCTTTCCATCCAGTAGAAAGTATTGGTGAACAACGGCTATGATTATCTTGTCCAGAAAAGAGGAGGGAACAAAACAGTAAACCCCTCTCGCCTGCTCTTGAAATACTAGAAACAAGTGCGACACGCATAACCTTTTGAGATTGAGATTTACTTCTCGTATAGCAAGAACAATGTGAATGACACTCATCATTTTCAATTTTAAGTTGCACTTGTGATGGTCGTCATTCCATTTCAGTTTTAGAAAGACAATTTAATAAAAAATCTCATATATATATATATATATATATATATATATATATATATATATATATATATATATATATATATATATATACATATATACATATATACATACATATTCTATTTCGTTCAAGGCACGATAATTGTGAATCAGCGATTTACAAACGATGCTCAAATACTGATGTGTATCATCGCTAAGCAATCGAAATGCGAGTGCATATCTCCTTTAAAAAAGCCTTGTGCTAACCGCTGTCTGAGTTTTCAACGAGTAATTGGTAATCAAGACAAACTTATCAATTTACATACAAACATTATGTACCGATATTTCTCAAATCCTTCACTACACTTACACACCAAGTATTTTGCAGATTGTAACTTTATACATTCTTTCGGTAAAGATCATCTGAGTGGAATGTCTTCTCGTCAGTAGACTTATTTCGCGTGATGTACATTATTTGGCATATACTAAGTATGCTGCTGTATAGCGACATTAACCAATAATGGTTTGTGTTAACATTTTCCGTTTAATGCTTATCGCGGATATCCCTACATTCGTATTTGTTATTAAAGAGATTTCGCGATACTTAGATCAATAATAAGATGCACGCTGTGGAATAGTTTGTGCCTGGAATGATCACGGCTATGACAATCAAATACAATGGCATCACGGCACTTAATACTTCAGCCATTAATTACCGGACTGCATAAAGAAAGGATTGCTATGATTTTCAGGATGTTTTGTGAAACTAGCCTTCAAACGTTTGATTCGAACAACGCATTTTGATGTCCAAACAACAATTTATTTAAGAGTGGGCGTGATCTATAGGTGTGGCATAATGTAAGTAGTTCAAAGAGGAGTATTTTTTCCACATTTTCCCTCGATGCAACTCTTGGAGCTCTCTAAACCTCGATCGTAAAAGCAAGTTGTCAATAGTGTGAATAATAGATCCGAACAAAAAAACAAACAAACAACAACAACAAAAAACTATCGCGTAAAATTGTAATGCATTATTCTATGGAATTTTGTAAAATAAATGATAAGTAATAAAATATTTGGCATTTACTACGAAACTTTAAACAAATTATTATGGACTTTTTGAAGTAAATAATATTGCATATCTACTTTACTTTTGGTGTTTGTAGATGAAATTCGTAAGGAACACACAAGAACCTTCCATTACTATGCATTTTGCAGATATTCTCCCTCTTGGAAAGTGAGAGAAAGGTCGGCTGCCGCCGCGTCAAGCAGCCAGGTTGAACCTCCCCCTTCCCTCCTTCAATGCGGTGTGGTCAGGCGTTCGTTTCCCTTGACAGTGCAATTACAAGAGCAGCATTACACCGCACGCACACAGTGCCAATCGTGCATCTACATATGATCGTTGCTTCGCCCCATTGCTTACTCACCCGTCCACCAGCACGCTGACAGAAGGTCGAACTGAAAGAATACAAGGTTTGTAGGCGACGCTTTCACTACCACTCGTGGAACTAACTTTTCTCAAGTTTTTTACAATCCTGTACATTAACAATTTATTCGGTTTTTGATATAAAGTATTGGGAAATCGAAGTTTTGAAGAACATTCAAATTTTAAGAATACTGAAGTTTAGTTTACGAATTGATGTTGAAGCAGTCAGTATATATCGTGCTACAGTCTGTACCTCGGTCAGACCGCTCGCCTTACACGTCCACGCCGGCATAGGAATTCAATTCCCAGGCGACCTGTATAGAAATGTTGGTAGATAAACCAGAATGACATAAGACTTTCTCAGGTTCTACAGTTTCATTCTACCTTTCCATTGCATCATTGCTCCATCATAATTTCACCATGAATACCCGCACGACAATGTTTGATAGTGTAAAGTGTGTTTATTAAGTGAATCAGAACACAGGCTAACCCTTGGCAAGTCTGCCAATACCTCTTCATTGAGCAGTCGCGGGTAACGCTCGGTGCTACATCTTTCAGATGTATTATATTTTTTCGAGATTTGGATATCACGAATTGATTTTAAAAGTGGGATAATAACGTAAGACACTTAACTGATCGATTTTTGTCTCTAAATTTTATTCTGGTTGTGATGATTCCAATAAAACTCCAAATAAACGCTAAAAAAAAGTACTCGGAATCGATCGACTTCGATGGTCTCTCATGGGAGGGCGTGAGCTGTGGCGGCGGCGGCGGCGGCGGCGGCCGCCCGCCCCGCACCCCCTGCGCGGATGGCGTCACGCGCGCACTTGTCCAGCCACGTCGTCGCGCCACGTCACCCGCTGCATGCGCGTGCCTGCCGCGCGCCGCGGCTCAAAGCGCCGCTGCACGGCCACCCCGCCCGGAGGCCCCGTCTTCCGCACTCACCACCGTACTGCGATTCAGTTCAGCTCACTTCGGACGTTCGATCAGCTGGACGCGGCTATCCAACCGGGAGCAGCTTTGCGACTTCATTTTTGGTGCTGAAGCCCCCGAATGGATAACTGCTTTCCAGCTGATCGAACGTCGTGTATGTAAATCGAAGAATAATCTCCAAATCGAAGTGGATTTCACAGCTGATTGGCTGAGACGCCGATGAAGCGGTTGCCAAACAGGAGCTTCAATTCAAAAATCCCGAAAATTTCCCGATCCCGTTTGGGTAATCGCGTCCGATCAGCGGGGCACCGCCCCACCGGGGACAAGCTGTAAACTCTCGACTGGTCTCCCGGCATGTGTTAAAGTACATGTAAGTGTGTATGTGAGTGTGTAGGTTGTAAGTATGTGTGAGAAAGGTAGGCCGAGGAAGAGGAAGGAAAGATCGCGCAGTCCATGGCCGTTTGTTAGGCATTCGTTTGATGTTGATCGAAGAAACCACGGAAAACTACCTATTAGAGCAGCAGGCCTCCTCCAGAGAGCGGCTGAATTCGAGCAACGCGTATCCGTCGTTATCTACGACACTACTCCTTTCTCACATTATTTGTAAGGGCTTCGCACTATTACTACATGCAGAACGGTGAAGATTGATTAGTGATTCCCGACGCGTCAAATGTTACGGTCATTAGTCTCGTAAAGTATAGCGCGTGCTCTTTCCTCGGGAGGCGACGGTGATCTTCCCCCGCTGGACGGTGAGATCCGGAACCGACCATCCCGTCGGCAAGCGGAGTTTTCCCCAATCAGGTATCTCCCACTAGCGGGACACCGCCCTTCCGGGATAAGCTCTCAGCTCCCGTGTGGTCATTCGGCAGCTATGATAGTGTTGTTCATGTAAGTGAGTTAAGTTCGTACAAGGTGGAGTTGCTTAAGAAAAACACTGAGACAATTTTAACAAGTCAGTATATTTCAACATGAAGTACTTGGCGATACAGGAAGTGAAGTATATGTGTGGTCAGCGGTCGTGGTGGCTCCTTTTATTTAACTCGGAGACGGCGGTGGAGGAGGTGTTTGTTTCTGGAGTAGTATCTTTTGGGTTCTTTTCCTCTTGCAGCTTTCAGTTGCGACAACATGGGGTTTGCTTACATCTGATAGGTGCGTAGGTTGTTTCCTTCGGGATGCTCGGGGCGGTTTCCATTATGTACTAGAGGGCGAGGGTCTTCTGTACATAACAGGTGTAAGTGTGTGTTAGTAAAGGGTATGATAGAACAAGGAATCGGAAGGAAAGATCTCTCGCGATCCGTAGCCCCTTTGTTAGGGTACTGCTCGGCATTTGCCTGTTGTTGATCGGAGAAACCACCGAAAACTACCGATCAGACAAACCTGCTTTCATGGAAGTCGACCACAGGACAGTGACACAGATTGCAGCGTATTGCGTCGATTCCTCACCGCGTCGATACTTAGATCGATAACGTGGGCTCAATTCAGTAAATAGACGGAAACGTCTGCCGGAAGCGAAGGAAATGAGGCGCCGGGCGAAGCCTGATTGCACAGAGACGGAGGTTTCCGCTGGGACTCTACGCCCCCTCCCCGCCCCCCACCCAGCGTCCCCCCCAAACCACGCTTCACTCTTACTCTCGCTGCTCTGCCCGGCCCCCCTGCCTGCAATCGCGTTTGAGGAGCGCCAGATTTGCAAAGCAAAACTGGAGGACGATTGGGCCAGTGTCCTCTAATTTAAAAGAGAAAACTACTGGAATTGTATTTGGCGTCATTCTACAAGTTCTAGCAAACACGACACGTCTATCCGCCGTATTACGCGCGGAAGAAGAAAGTATTGGATCATTTACAAGACACCGGTCTATTCGAATATTGGTAATTACACAATTACTCTCTGTGATATTTTGAGGTATTGGTCATCGCAAACGTTGTAACATTGTGAATGTCCAGATTAGCGCATTTTTCATTTCAGGGAAAACAGATGGAGATAGAAAGGGAGCAACTGGTCGTCAGTAGTGTAATAAGAGTTAAAAAGGAAGCTAGCATATAGGACAGAGCTTTTTATCCTGTGGCATTAATCTCTAAGTAGGGCGAGCGATCAACTCATCGCAAGTGCTTTCAATGGCAGCATTCAGCCGTTGAGAACGGCCAGAGCCCGCTGACTTCGAAGGGGTATAGCGCGCGTATGCAGGCGGTAGTCAGAGGCTGCACGGAGAGGAGCGGGTGCGAGGCGGGGCGAGGCCGGGGCGGGCGGAGGCAAGGGCGGGCAGATCGGAGTGGCGCGAGGAGAGAGGAAAGAGAGAAAAATGGCGTGGCGGGACGAGGCGAGGCGATGTAAAGCGAAGCGAAGGCAGGTTGGAACGGTGGTGGAGTGTGAGCGAGACCGGCGAGATATCGAAGGTGGGAAGTGGGGAGGACATGGAAGGTGAAAGAGGGCGGCTGGCATGTATGAGTAGAGACAAGAAGAGGCAGCGGAGGTAAGAAGCGGGAGAATGCGACCCGGCGAGTTCGAGGAGATGCAAGGCGGAGGTCGAGGGAGCGGTCATTGCGGAGGAACCGGGGCAGGCAAGACGGGGCGGCGGCGGGCTGGGGATAGCCTGTGGGGAGCGGGAGGGGAGGGGGCGGAGACGTTGGTTAGCGTCGGCGGATGAGTGGGATAGGGGGAGGGGTGGGCTTCGGACACGCGAGAACGCGGCTTCGGGGAGAGGGGGGGCGGAACGGAACGCGTGAAATTTTTTTTTTTCTTTTTTTTTTGTGAGGGGGGGTCATGGCGGGACGGTAACGGAGCTAGGCAAGACGGGGTTCGGCCGGGCCCGGGGATAGCCCTGTCTGGGCAGGAGGGTAAGGGGCTGAGATTCGTTCCGGTTTTGCGTCGGGTCTGGTATTAATTTGAGGGGAAGGGGGAGTTTTTTTTAGGGGTGGGTCTCGGAAGCGCGAAGAACGGCGTGGAGCAGGGGCGAACGGAACGCGTTTTGAAACTACTGCGGGCGGCGGGGACTGGCGGGGAGAGGCGTGGAGCTGGAGTCGGGACGGGAGGGGGGAAGGCTGGGGACGTGACGGACGGGGACGGCGGCGGCGCGGCGACCAAAAATAGCCCGACGGCGCGCCCGCAACGCCGCCGCCGCCCACCGCTGCACCGCTGGAGCGCAGCAGGGGGCCCCGTCGCGCCGCCCGCGACTCCAGCGCTGCGAGCGATGTGCGCCTTCGCACATGCTTTGCCCCGGCGGCGCAAAGCCAGTTCGCGCAACGCTCCACGAAGAGTACTGCATTCTCCCAAGGATCTTGGAGCGGCAAAGTCAGGGCAGCAATTGATGGAACTGCAGTGCCTCTGACCCGGGTTTCGAATCCCAACGGTGGCAGGAATTTCGGCTTTAGCTAGATATTCGTAGCTAGATCGAATTCACTCGTTGTCTGGGGTTTTCAGCGTTTTCTCGTGCTCATCTTCCGCGATGAAATCATGCACTGCACTTACGGAACTAATGACCTTATCACTTCCTCCTTCATGACTTAGCGTTCTCAATCATTACTTATCAATCAATCAATCAATCCCAGGGACTAAGCAGTGAGGGCTCTGAGCTTCGCGGTCACGTACAGATAATCACGAGTAGCTACACTTCAACGAATTGATTACTTCAAGAAACTACTGAAAAATTAAATTATTTTTTTTAATTACAAGAGGTGGAAAAGGAAGTAAAAAATGGAAAGTAAAGGCACCTACTACCTACGACAATAAAATAGCCTTTCATGCCACCTCTAGTAAAATTAATTTTGACCACCCACACGCATCCACATAGTATGTTACGATTCCTAAAGTGACCCCACAGTTTACTGAAAGCTAACCACATTGTTGTTATGAGTAAAATGATGTGGGTGAGCTTAACTCCTAGCCTGAAGATCTGCACTCGAAGATATTTAAACTTTCCAGGAGAAAGAATGCCGCAACTGTCGGCGCTGTCTAGCCGGCAGCAGCGATCATGTACGCCTAATACAATCTAATGGTTTAAAGAAGTAATTTGCATTCATTTGGGTCGAATTTTGTGAACTGTTGAATGATTTTGAAACGGAGAAAATAGGAAAAATAAGTTTGCGGAAACGTACTACATTAAAGTATTTAAACCATTGCCGTTATTTCGCTTCATCGCGGAGTTTGAATACTCTCGCGAAAAATTGCGAAAGATTCTCAAT